CCTACCTGTGGTGCAGGGAGCACTGTACTCCTGTGTGGCAAACTCATCTGGAAAGCAAGGGAAAGGAGACAGTGAACTGCCGTGACCCCTGGCACTGCTGACAGAGGGACAGGTGCCAGAGATGCTTTTCCCAGGCTCCACAGCAGGCTGCTGACACCATCCCCAGCTTCCCTCCACAGATCTCAACTGGGGTGGGAGGAGCCCAAGTCACAGCCCCATCTGGGGGCAGTGGCAGCAAGGCAGAGCCACCCCACACAAGCAGTTCCAGCAGGTCTCCACCCCGGTGTCCCCAAGGGCTGCTCAGGCACCTTTTCCCAGCACACTGGGGTGGGGTGGGGACAAACAACTCTGTTGCTGCCAGCCTGGCACAGCAGCCAGGACAGCAGAGACACAAGGAGCAGCAGGTCTGCCTGCAAACACAGGCACAGCTGTGCTCTGGGGCCAGACCTGAGCACAGGACCTTCAGCACCCACGGCTCTACCCTGGGCCCCTCTGCACTCAGAGAGCTCAAGGTGATGGCCCAGGCCAGCAGCAGCTGTGGGTCTGCACAGCTCCCGTGCCACTCCACATATCCCACTGCCTACCCTTGCTCCCACAGGCGCTACCAACCCCCACTCACCTGTCTCGTAGTAGTCATAGACCTTCACCTGGGCTGGCTTCAGGCCCTGCACGGGGATGTCCCGCTCCACCGTGAAGGAGAAGCTGAGGGTCTCACTGCTCAGCTGGGAAAGGGAAGTGGTAGAGGGTCAGGGGGGGCTCCACATTGTCCCAGGCTCCTCTTTGCCTCCACACTGCCCCAGGCCCTCTCACTCTCCCCTTCCACCTGTGCCTTGGCCCTGATGGGACACAGGGGCTGTAGGCCTGGCTGAAGGGCAAGGGGAAACTTTTCCCCATAATGGGGAGAAATCACAAGGCCTGATCTGTGGAGGGAAAGCCTGCTGAGGGCTGGGACAGAGTTTGTCTCCTATGAGACATACAAGGTTGGTGGCAAAGAGGTTTATGATCTGTGTTTACAAGCCTGGAGATGGTTAGCAATTCTCTCCATCGCCGTTGATGCTATTGCCAGTGTGCTGCAGAGCTCACTCTGTGCCCCATGGCAGCCCTGAGTTAGTCCTCACCTGCTCTATGTACAGCAAAACATGATTTGAGTTCACCTCCGTCCGCTGGATCTGGTGAAACCAGGTGTTTGAGAGCTGGAAAGAGGAGACAGAAAAGGTTGCTAATCTGATGGAAGTTAGACAATCCTTCTAAGTTTCCTCACACCAGCAGAATCCCACCAATTGGGTGCTGTGAAGTAAAGCACAGGGAGAGTGCTTCCCAAGGGACTTCTGAAACACTCTTGTATGAAGCCCCACACACTAAGTCTTCCCCCAGTTCCCATCATCTCAAGCTCTTGTACCTCCTTGACACAAAAATGGAATGAGGGACCAGCACTGTCATGGCTGTCATCTATCTCCAAAGGCTCTTGAGCTCCTGAAATTAAACCAAATGGTCTCCTTCCAGCTCTCTTTCTCAGGGCCAAACTCCACATATATTTGAATAATTGCAAGCTACCACAAATGCTTGAGGAGTGGGAAAGCAATGCTGCAGATGGCATCCCTCATTCACCCCTACTTCAGAGCTGAGGGTTGGAGGACCTGGAGGAAAAGTTGGACAGATCCAAGACGGACGAATATACCAGGAAAAGAACTAAAATCTCCTTTAAATAAGGAAATTGATGCCCTGGATTAAGGACAGGTATACTCCAAAAAATGCTTCACATATCATCCTACCTTCCTCACTGAGGACTTCAAGGGAATGAATCCCGACAGCATCTTCACATCAACAATCACCATGTTGGAGCTGTTGCGCTCTCCAGTGTAACTAAGGAATTGACCAACAAACACATCAAGTCAAAGCTGCGGACACCTCCAGCTTATCTGTAGCACTTGGCACCACACCAAGTCCTGGCAGCCCAGCACCTTCTTCTCCAGCTATGCCAGGTTCTCCTAGTCATCTAGGCAGCCTCTCACTAGCCCAGCTCTAGGCTACCCACACAATTTCACCACTGCAGGACCCAGCCCAGCTGCTTCTTGCCCACCGTCCCAGGAATTCATTGTACCTCCAGGGCTTCCAGACTGGCTCACCCTGGGGACAACCAGACCTCCTCCAGCCCCCATGGCTGCACAGGAAGGCTCAGACCAAAACATAGACTCACCTGACATTTATGCCAATGTCAAAGACCTTGTGAGCCTTGGAGTCCACACATGTCTCTGGGATAGTGTACACATGAAGCATGAAAGGTGCATCCTCCTGTGTGGGCTGCACGTTGTACCTCAGGCTTGTCTAGGGGACAGGCAGCAGCCATGTGTGAGCATGTGTGCGTGATGCCCAACGTTGGAGAGAGGGGATGCTCTCCCCCACCCAGCCTCCCCACTTCTCCCATTCTCACAGCTCCTCCACACTGCAGGTCTTTCCCTCCTTCCCTCCCACTCGTTCTCTTCCACATAACTCTGCTCTTCTCCTCTTCCCTTTACCCAGAGCCTTCCCTCCCACTTCTCCCCTCTCTCCTGTCCCTTCTTCTCCAGGTGGAGATGGACTCAATGATCTTTAGGGTCTTTTCCAGCCTAGATGATTCTATAATTCTGCCCTCTCCACGGCTCCAGCCTGGCAAGGGGCTCCCCTCCCAGGATGCCACCTATCCGTATCTCCCTCACCTGCAGGTAGACACATCCTTCACCAGACACCTCCACACTGTACTCCCCTGGCACCCGGGGAAGGGACATGCGCTGGAGCAGCAGCCGGTTTGTGGGATCCACTTGGAAGTCTTGCTGGAAGTTCCCTCCAGATTGCAGGGTCACTTTGGAAGCTGTCCCGCTCTTGGCATAAGTGAGAGCTCCATACAGGGACAAGGCTTGGAGAGCCACCACTGTGTCCTGAAAGAGACAGATCCCAGCACCCAGGGGAGTGCAGTCAGCCTTTCCATAGCCTGCCCTCCCACAGGTCTGCCCTTTCTGTTGGCACCCTCCCATCCATCCTTCACTATCTCCAGTGTTAAGTAGAAAAGACAGAGGCAAAGATCAGCTTTTGCATGTTCCCATTCCATTCCTGTGTCCTCTGGATAGCAGTCGTAGATTCCATGAACTCCTTGGTGTGGAGCTGTGCACAGCCTTCCCTTGCACTTTACAGGACAAAGCAGCAATTTTATATGCACAAACAAAGTGCAGCATGAGCCCTCTCCAACGGCACAAACACACATTCCTTGTGTCCCTATCATTCTGCCCCACTGTGTCAAGAAAATCAGGTCATTAATCAAAGTTTCAGTCATTCTCAAGGATACTACCTGACATACTTGCCTCTAGCATTTCAAGCCCTTGGCATGGTGGGTACTGCATGGATATACTGCAGGTCTAATGTTCCCACCTTCCTGGCAAACCTTACTGGGCTCCCACTTGGCTCTCTGACATGTCCCATCCTCCGACATTGATGTGCGAAGTCGCAGGAGGGAATGGGAAGCAGCTCACCTGGGTGGAGGAGAAGCCTCCATTGGGATTCTGCTGACCACTGATCCACTTTGCAATATGAGATGCAAATGACAGCTCCTCCTGGGAAGGTGCTGGCTGAGAGGTGAGGTAAGCAAGGAGCACATAGGCTGTCATCTCCACTTCAGCAGAGGGAGCTCGGTAGCGATAGTATGGGAGATCAACTTCTGGCTCTTTCCCAGGTCGCTGCCAATGAACGGACCCATCTTCGCAGGAGGCAGGGAGCATGGAGACAAGACAACAAGCAATTACTACTAGTTATTGCAGGGGACTTCTTGATCTGCTGCAACTCCAGGTGGGTGGATGCAGCCTTCAGGATGCGTCTGTCATGCAGGATGAAGGGGGAAGGGTTAGGGTTACACATTTTGCGGGTTTACAGCTAGTATGAGAATGCCGAGCCTCACACCTAGAT